CGGAGCCCTGGCCCAGGCTGCCCAGGGAGGCTGTGGAGTCTCCTTCTCTGGAGATATTCCAGCCCCGCCTGGCCGCGGTGCTGTGCAGCCTGCTCTGGGTGACCCTGCTTGGGCAGGGGGTTGGGCTGGGTGACCCACAGAGGTCCCTGCCAACCCTGCCATGCTGGGATTCTTCAGCCCATACTGACCTGTCCCTGTTCTTGGTTAGGAGGTTGCGTTCGATGCCTTCCATGAGGTTCTCAAAGCAGAGGTGCATCGCCTGCTGCTTCTCCGGAGGCTGGCTGTTCACTATGCTGTTCCTCAAGTCAGAGAAATACTGGGGGAGACAGGAAAAGCCTGGGTTGGTTTCCAGAGTAACAGCCACCCTGGCTTTGGGACTGGGCACGCATAACAGGCTCTCAGGAAGAGGGAGGACATATGCTCCAGCTCGTCAGGCGACTTCCAGTGCCCTTATGGACAGAACCTTGGCATCAAGGTTGTTGCAGGGGAGGGCTGGACACCCTTCCCTCGACACAAAACCTCTCCCAGCCCCGACTTCCCAGCCACCCGCTCTGACACCGTGCTGCTCCCAAAGGTTCCAGCACCAATTCGGCAGGGGGTTGGACCAGATGACCCACAGAGGTCCCTTCCAACCCCGACCGTTCTGTGATTCTGTGATCGCTGGGGCCCAGACAGCTCCTCTGGCTGCAAGGCGAGCGCGGGCTGGTTACCTTTTCATTGAGCAGGATCAAGCCAAGCAGAGGCCGAGACATTGACCACTGGTTCCTGCAGTCCTCAAAGATGATGATATTCAGGACTGTCGACAGCATCTGGGAGAGGGAGAGCGAGGTTTAGAACCAGCCCGCCCACCGCAGCTCTCTCCTGGCTCAGGAGCAGCCTTGGGCGATTCCAGCACTGGAGCCTCAGCGCTACAGAGCTCTCGGCATCACGGGACCAGAGCAGGACCCGGAGCTCCCACGAAGTGGCAGAGAACTTCACTGCAGGCAGGCGGAGGAGGTGCTGACAGCTGTCAGGGTGTTTATTCCTGACACACTCCGTCCTGCCCCACGGCAGCCAGGGGAAGATCGTCTCGTCTTCGCCTACGCGAGGTACCAGCAAGCGCTTAAACGCGGAGCCACGCGCCGGTGCTCGCCGGGGCTTCCCCTGGTCCACAGCGGGGTGTCTGCGTCTCCTTCTCCTGAGGCTAACGCCAGTGTCTAACCGAGCTGGGCTGGAAGATGCAGTTTCTCTTTTTATCCTCAGAAAGCACAGCTTCTAGCCCAAAAAAAGCCTGGTTTTCTTTGATCTACCAGCAAGGGCGGAACAATATTCCCCGCTTTCAGGTGGGAGTCGTGCTGACACCCTGACGCGTGCCAGCGAGCGAGGCTGGCTAACGCCGCCCAAACGGCGCTGAGCACGGGTGCTGCGAGCGGCACGGCCGGGCGAGAGGCCCACAAAAGCCTTTCGCTGCAGGGTGTGGACATCCAGACCCCCACGCAGGGCCCTCCGCAGCACCAAGCCCCCCGTGAGCACAACCCCCTGTCGTTAGGGGACACGGCGGTGCCCGAACTACACGGTGTGCGATGAGCTAAGCCTGATCTACGCCAGGAAAACGCCTCAGCTCACTGCTTGTACAGGCTTGGGGTGGACCTGCTGGAGAGCAGCTCTGCGGAGAGGGA